GCGTCTTGGATGCCTGGGGACTGCCTTCCACTACTGTTGGCTGAAACAAGAGGGTAGGCTGCGATCATTAGACTCATGGATGGCGTTTTCAGCTCTTTGGCCTTCCTTCGTTCATCAACTTCATCGCGACCGTGCTTTATCTTTTAGCTCTCCTCCGTGATGCTCTCAACTCTTTGGCCTCCCGTGCTCTAGCTTCTGTGTATCTTTGCTTTAGATTCTGTGCATCATTCTTCCAGCTTCTGCGCATCCTACTATCTTTAGGGGCGAGAAGAACTTCAGTGACTGTTGTTAAACGACTAGCCGGTCGTGAAGCTCGACACCTTGCACCACATCGAGCTCGTCATTCTGGCCACTATGATCAAAATCAGCGAAGAGCTTTAGTGACTGCTGTCAAACGACTAGTCAGTCATGAAGCTCGACGCCTTACACTTTGCCTCAAGCTCCAGCTGCTTCTGCACCTCCGCCATGGCTGCTGCTTTTGAATGTGATTTAGCAAATACACTGAATGAAATAAAGCATGTCTATTGATATCTACGAGAAATTACAAATCTGTACAAAAAAAAAAAAAAAGCAAAGAAAAAAAGAAAGAAAAAAAAGAGGGAGCCTTCACAAAGGTTGTTCACATGAAGCCTTAGTGCCAAGCAAAACCCCAGAAGAAGAAGGCACTAGAGATTGATCATGTGGTGCCTCAATACTTGGTCGAACTTTAGATGACGAAGGCAAAAAGTGCCTCTGGAATACAGCCACAAACCTCTAATGATCACTTTGAATCCGACCTTCGGATTCTTGTAGCTGATCAAGCTTTCTCTTCATGCTTGTTGAATAATTATTTGCAAGCATGTGCAACTTTCTATTCTCGTGCTTGAGCTGTCTGATCTCTTGTCTAAGATTTGCCACCTCAGCTGTTAATGAATCAACTTGACGAGTTCGAGTAAGTAGGCGTTGGCCTATATTGGAGACAGAGCCCGTACACCGAACACTGAGAGTCAAGGTGTCTCGAACGGCTAACTCATCAGACCGTTTTGAAAAAAGCCTATTATCTCTGGGAGTGAGGAGGTTCCTAGCTACTACTGTAGCTATCATTTCATCCTTCATCATAGAATCTCCAACTGTAAGAGGGCCATTAGAAGATAAGAAGGACGGACGCCATATATTATCTTGACACGGCTCGTCTGTATCACTTCTGAGACTCAAATCTAAGCAGATGTTAGATGTGTAAGCCATTTTCAAAAATGTGAAAGAAAAAGGTTGGATCGAGTAAAATCTCAGAAATACAGCAGAGACAATTTTCACAGTGGGCAATATTCAAAGTGCGCATTTTGAATACAATTGATATCTCTATAAAAGGAAAGGCAAAACAACCATCTGTTCAAAATTAAAGAGACACCATTCTTCGAATTTCAAAAGCCGGATTTTCCTGCATAAAGCCTGTCAACACTTTTCAGACACAATCTCAGCTTTTCAGATATCATGTGCAACTTCGTTAAATATCTCTGACAAAGTTGAAAACATGTGAATTTTACTATTCCAATTACAACGCTGTTGCCAACAAGCATAGGAAAAAAGGCCACATTCGCAGCACTACCTGCTATTGGGAAATCCCTATATATGTGGACCTTTATCCTCCATGGCAAGGCATATATCCAAAACGCCTGACTCTTCTTCGTTGCCAAGAATACATCTGCAACCAAACTTCTTAACACACTCAGTTTTCTTCCCCCTTGAAAATACCTCTTCAACCAAGTCACACCAGAGCAAAAGTATCTTATATCATTAAGGTCGAAAACAAGAATATCTCATAGCATGCTTTCTCCCTGTCATTTTCTTTGTCCTTGTTCTTCCTTACAGAACAAGGAGAAAGAGAGCAATCAGCCAGCACCTAGAATCAACCTTCTGATTTGGAACTGACTACCTGGAACCCCTTCCCTGATTGCTTACCTAGCACTACTCTTAAGTACTCATCTTCAACTGTTGATGTACTTCCAAAGAAGATACCAAACACCTGGAGAACAGATGAGGCAAGTGAAAATGATACATCGAAGCATGTGGAGATAAGCGTAACAAATACATGTGATGATTCATCCGCTACTTCTTCAAAAGTAAACGTATCTCATATCATCAGGGTCGAAAACAAAGGTATCTCATATCATGTTTTTTCCCTGTCTTTTCTTTTTCCCTTACTCTTACTTGCAAGACAAGGAGAAAGAAAGCAATCAGTCGAAACTTGAAATCAAACTTCCAATATGGAACTGATTGCCCGGAACCTTTGCCTGGTCGAGTACCTAGTATTGCTCTCGAGTGCTCATCTTCAACTGTTGATAGGTCTCGAATTTCCTCAATGAATACTTCAGGACAGTTGATATGATGTTGGCTCTTTACATTGAAGCTGCCAAACATGGATGAGTCACTGAGAAATAATGTTATGAAGGACCATTCAAATACAAAGGTTGCACACCACTTCTGTTATGTAAGAGATTGAAGCAGAATGATCAATGATGAGCTGGAATAGGTCACTATAGCATGACGCATTTCCCTGCAGAACTGCATATTCCAGATGGAGGAATCTAAGTCAAATTCTAGCCTGCCATCGTTGCTCTAATCGAATAGCTTAAGAAGCTCAACAGCCTTTCACTGGTACCGTCGTCGAAGAGCAAAGCCTCGTTGTGCAACGCCATCAAATCACCACTACTTCTTCAAAAGAAAAAGTATCTCATATCATGCTTTCTCCCAGTCCTTTTATTTGTCCTTGTTCTTACCTGCATCATAATGAGAATGAGAGCAATCAGTCGGCACTTGGAATCAAGCTTCCAATCAGAAATCGACTGCCTGGAACCTCTTCCCTGATTGCTTATCTAGCATTGCTCTCGAGAACTCACCTTCAACTGCTGATGTGCTTTCAGAGAAGATACCACATCTACCTAGAGAACATATAAGACGAGTGACAATGAAACATCAAACTTGTGGATAATTAACAAACGCAACAACCATACGTGTTGATTCATCCCCAATAAAGCCGAATCTCACTTGCTAGGTGAAACCGCTCCTAGTCCCATTTAAATTCAAGATCAAGCCTCAATGACCCTTGAAGGGATCATAAGTCCGAATCAAGATCAAGTGTCCATCACCCTCGAATCAAATTTAGTTCCAGATAAAAGGAGTAAATTCAGACCTTTGGAGGAATTCTAGCCAAAAAAAAAAAAAAAAAAAAAAAAAAAAGCCCTCCAGCCCAGTTCAAGATTAAGCCTATGGAAAATCAACCTTTGAAGGAATCCAGAAAACCCTTTAGCCCTGTTCAAGATTAAGCCTGTGAAAAACCAACAATTGGAGGAAAGCAGAAAATCTTCCAGCCAAATTCCAGATCAATCCCTGACGGCCCTTGAAGAAATTTCCAGCCCAATTCAAGATCAAGCCTTGACGGCCCTTAGATTGACATCTACAATAAGGGACTTCAAAACGCATATTCTACACGTGACAAGCACATGTATACGATGCGGTTTGAAGTGGGGGCATTTGTAGACATCGAAATTTTGGTGAAATAAATGTACCAATGCATTAAAATTACAACCTCCACTTATTTCACTTACATCATCCACTTACTTCACCTACAACCTCCACTTAGTTCACAAAAAACATGATGGTGGTGATTCATTCTCAAACCCTATAAATAGGCTTCTCCATCGAGGGATCAAGGGACCAATTCACATTTGCATTTCTCTACTCCCAAATTGGAAGAGAATTCCCTAAATCCTTAAAGCTATGAAACTCTAAAGCTTTCAAGCATCCAACCTCCCAAATTCCCAAGAATCCTGAAGGATCAAGAAAGCTCTCTTCGTTCTTCATCAAATCCTTGAAGAAATCCACACAACTGTTTATCAAGATCAAGCTTCGAAGGCCCTTGAAGATCCGTTCATCCTCGTTCATCAAGGTCAAGCCCAAATCCATACAACAGTTCATCAAGATCAAGCCTCGAAAGGCCCTTGAAGATCCGTTCATCCTCGTTCATTAAGGTCAAGCCCAAATCCATACAACAGTTCATCAAGATCAAGCCTCGAAAGGCCCTTGAAGATCCATTCATCCTCGTCCAGCAAAGTCAAGCCCAAATCCACACAACTATTCATCAAGATCAAGCCCCAAAGGCCCTTGAAGATCCATTCATCCTCGTTCATTCCAAGATCAAGCTCCAACGGCTCTTTGGATCAACAACATCAACAAATCCACACAATTGTTCATCCCTAGACCAAACCCCTACGACCCTTTGGATCAACATCCCATCCACAGATTTACACCTTACGAAGATATAATCAGAGGATCAAATTGTAAAAGAGATTGTAACCCAAAAATTAATACAAAATATTATTTTGTACACGTGTTCTTGTTCCATTTGTCGCAGGAAAATTCGTGTTTACACACACCTTATTAGAGAGATGGTACAAATGATGGTATAACTATACAGTAATAGGAGAATTTTTGTTAACGTTTACTACAATTGGTAAGCTAATGATGATATTCAAACTTAGTTCAAATCCTAAAACATTTGGTAATTGGTGGAATTTTGTTTTAAAACCAAATAAACATTAATTTTTCCTTAATATATATGTTTGGTGCGAATTTTTATTTTATTTCGAACTTGTTGAATGAACCACCGTTGAAAATAATTTCAAGTAGAGAATAAAGAAGGGTGAATTTTGAGATAAGTAATCATCGGAAAATTTTCGAATCTGTTAATGAATCAACTATAGAATTCTATGATAGCAATCTTTTGAGTTTATGATTATTATTTTATGATAGTAATCTTTATCAACCTGCAATCATCGATACTTTTGACTCGGTTCAATTTCCGCAATTGACTAATTTGCTTGTTAATGATTGCAGGGTTATAAGGATCCGAAAATCGAGAAAAACTACTCGGTTTTACGAACAAAGCAAAATCTTTCTCCTTGCAGCATTGGAAATTAATAGTAGGATTTCAACTGTGAATTACTCACCATTCAGCTCCATCATCAAAGAATGTACAGTGTTAATTGCAATCAATTTCTTTTATCACAAATAGAGATGTGCCTTTATTCTACAGTTCAATGCAAATCCAACATTCTTCCACAAACTTTCGTTGTTTTTTTCGTTCGATTAAACAATGAAAGTTATCGGTTCAAGACATTTTTCGAGATTGCTTGTGCGATAAATCAGCCAAGCCAACTCTGCTATACAGTATGTTAGGCTGTCAGAATACTCCCGAGGAGAACATTAGTCGAATCCTCATGCAACTAGTATGGACAGAGCCATACTTCTGTCTCTAATTGTCGCCTGATTGATTTTGTTGAAGCTCTTGAACTTCAGTCTCCGTTTGATTTTGAGGAAGCCCTCGAACTTGACTCCATTTGATTTTCTGGAATCCCTTCAACTTGAGTCTCAAATTCTCTTACGTAGTTAACGACTCCTCTAACTTTCGTTGCTATGTCTTCCGTCTCCTCCTCAACATTATTCAGCAATGTAAGTAGTAGCTCACGATATTGTCCACATAATTGCTCTTCACGCTCCAGGTCCAAAGTGAGTTCCGCAATCTTCATATCCTTTGCATCCTGCGAAGTTATTTGAGAGAAAATCAGATTCAGAGGTTGCAGGTAATGCACCTCCGCAATCATGTACCCATAAACACTTTCAGATCCTTTGTCGAACCATATTCCCTAACAGCAAAAACAACCTAAGTAAGAGATTCTTCATCTTAAAAGGAAAGAAAAATACGCCCATCCTGAATAGTATATGTTCCAATTATCTGGAACATCGAAAAACTAAGCCTGTGAAACTCCATTGCATGGAAACCTGAAAGGCCCCGTTCATAGATAAGCTGGTGAATTACATTAGACGGAAACCATGCTAGTTATAGCGGGGATGAGGAATCTAAACCACTTAGACCTGATCAGAAGATACATAAACTACGATTTCAGAAAATACAGTTTCAGCAATGCAGTCAACAAGCAAAGTTCCATCAATCATTTTCTCCTCATGCTTTAGAAGTTCAAGAAGAAGAGCGACAGGCATAAAAGAGCAACTTCATTTACTAAAAAATAAAGTAAAGATTCGAGCAATGATTACTTTTTTCTTGAATTTAGATAGATAAACTTACCATAGAATTCCCGGAAGAAACTATAAGTGGATGAGTGTGGTCCTTAACAACTCTTGTAATGACCCATTTTCCAGATTTTTTAAGTTTGACAAGCATCATCGCTTTACACCCTTCTCCTGTTGTAGGTTGCGGTCTTCGAACTGACCGGACTTGGTCTCTAGCTTTTACAGAACGCCCACCTTGCTTATTGCAGGATAGCTTACGGGAAAGAATTCTCTTCTCAACATGTGATCGACGACACTGGCCTATACGCATGATGAATCCAGCACGCCTTGCATAATCTTCGTAAAACTCCTTGGCAGCATCTTCAGACTCAAACTCCATACCAACATATGGTTCTCCAACTGCATTCAAGTCCCTTTCGACCGAAGTTTCAGGTGCTCCGGCTGTCCAATCCAAATTCACAACCACACATCACATACTATTACATTCGAGAAATATAATCTCTCTCTCTCTCTCTCTCTCTACAAATCACATTCTACTGAATTTCCTCCTACCCTGAAGATTTATATGCTTTTGTTGAACACCAAAGTTAATTCTTCCTCATGAATCAGACAGTTAAAAACTAAATCCTTCAAGTAAAAAACAAGGTTTTAAGTAATTAAACGCTGGAATTACAGAAATGGAAGCCAAATTCATTCTTCCCCAAGTCATTTTTTCACCATAATCCATTAGAAAAGTTCATATCTTTAAACTTTCAAGAGCTTTTCATTTACATTTTCTTTTCTGGGCAGAAGTTTCTGTACACTCCAAACCCAAAAAAACCATGAAATCCCAATTAAAAGGCAAAACCCATGATAGATTGCACTTGTACACAATCAGCTCAAAATCTCATTCAAATTTTCTCGGCAACCAAACACAAAATTACTGGATGGAAGAGAAAGCTAGCAGAAAACTTACGGGATTTGGGGTCGCTTCCAATCAAACCAAGCCAAGGTCTTGGCCTTCTATCGAATCTATGCTCCATTTTTCAGCGCTTGCTCACAAATGGCAACAAAAATTTCACACTTTCCAATTCGCTTTCTAATCTCAACTCCCCTCGCTTATTTATTTATTTGTTTGTTTATTGTCCCAACGTCGTACGACCTCCAAACGACATCATTTTACTAGTCGTTTAGCTGTATCACTTGTTTTTAATTGGCTTGGCAGCTTTTCCGTTAGTTTCCTGAGAAAATAAGTGAGAAAGTGGTAAAGATTGAATTTTGGTAATTTCCCATCTGCCAGTTTTTGTTGGGAATCTTAATTCAGGTACGGATTCTGGGTGTTCATATTTGGATTATACAAACGAAGTTTTGAATTTGATTCATTTCAGAATGCTACTGAATCATACTTTGTTTTTACTTTACAAATCAATTTTTTTCTAAAACGTTCCTTACATTCCATTGAAAATGTAATGTTACAATGTTTGGACTTTGACATAGTATCATAGTAACCTTATATTTTCTGCAGAGCGTGACACTATCGTGCTGTAAGGAAGTATATTCCAAAAAATTAAGATAACATAAAAAATGAAGTATCTAACTAGAAGAAGAAGAGCAGGTATCTAATAACCGAATTGTGATCATAAGCAATATACAAGCGTCTCATCTACTCTTTTTTTCCTTAAAAGTGAAGCAGCACGAAGAAATATTCGATCAACCTCATCAAAATTTGGCAAGCCAGCATTTTCGTCCAATGATTTATCCTTCTTTGCGTCCCTAGATATTTGACGCAAGTGATCCTCAAAATCTTCAGGTTCTACGTCACTTTCAATAGGAAACTTTTCAAACTCTTCCAAATACAGAGGTCGATCTGCCTTCTTCTCGGTCTCCTTGTCAGAATCAGTATCAAAAATATCGGATAAATCTTCAGAGTCCGAAGATATATCCACGTCTGTTGAAAGGTCATCCTCAGAGTGTTCCTTGATTCTATCCATCATTTCTTTTACCTTATTTGAAGCCTCCAGCTTCAACTTTGAGGAGCTCCCAGAGTCTACATTATCAGTAGATTCAGTACCAGTGTCCTGCGTTTCTTCCATAGAATCTGTATAAATGTCTACTTTCCTTTTAGCCTGTGCTCGAAGCAATTCAAGTTCTTGTTCAAGTTTTGGGATATGCTTTCTTACAGCGCGAAGACCATCCTTGTACTTCGATTTATCTAAAGCCTGTATGGGGGAGCAGAGAATACAAGGGAAAACATGAGAACAAATAATGACATATACGATGCTTCAACTATATGATCAGGGAACCTAGTTTTAATTTCAACACCTGCAAAAGTCTAACTGTCTTATCGAACATATACCTGCATCTCTTTGTATGTCTGTGTTTTATTTACTGATGGATCTTTTGAACTAACATATTATATAAGGAAAACTTGTTTTCCGGTCATGAGGAAGCAAGCAAAGGACTTGATTGTCATGGTATCGGGCATTGATTTAAAATGTTTATCAGAAAAGAGCAATGAGGTGGTTACAGCATGGAAAAATAATTTCAAATATGCAGTTAAAAAGCACTCTGCTTGGGCTTGACATGCAGTGTTCTAATGGAGACAGTTTAAGTCTAAATTCTCTGAAAGATGTACGTTTAGACAAATATAGGACAAGCGAACCTTCTTCCTGGAGATAGTGATCCTAGGTGACATGATTTCTGTTGGAGGCTGAGAATAGTTCTTCCCTCTGTACATAATTATCGTGTATTCTTCATGAATGCCGAGCACAATCCCTCCGGTTAATCTAGCCAGCTCAGAAGCAATCTCCTTAACCTCCTCAGGTGAGAATGTTTTCACCACAACCTGCAGCGTTTGATGTTTCTTCCAATGCAAGTGCGTGTTCAGAATCACACCCTGGTATATCCCCTGTCTTCCAACGGGCACATAATTCTTGCACTTGAGACCCATCTTAAGAAAGAAGAAGTGTTCCTCCGGCGTCAATATTTCTGGATCATGGTTTGTCTCCGATGGCTCCGAGGGCTCAATTTTCTTAAGAGCTTCAACAAGCCTTTCCTCTTTCCCTTGAGCCTGCAAAAACAGCAACCACATATCATCATCAGTCTCAAAACATTTTTCAGAACCGTGCTACATTTTTCATGCAAACATCGGTATTTGTCAGATAACTTGTACGAAATCATTAACCGTATACAATTCTTAACGTACAGATTAGTTTACCTTTCTTAACTAGTGGAGAATTTTCTCCTCAGCAGTCATTCTCTCATAATCTTTCTTCTTCTTATACCTGAAGAACTTGAGCCACCTAACCACTGCCCTTTTCCCCTTGAGCTTTTTCCTTTCACTTTACCATCACCAGCTCCGTCGGCACCCGCGCCGCCGTCTTTCGAATTTTCCAACGGCTCCACAGCTTTGTGCTCTGTATTAACAGACGGGGCTGAATAAACCCATCGACGGCCCTCCGGCGGAAGCCACGCAGCACCCACCAAGTCCCCAAAAGCAGCAGGCTTTTCGTCGAACATCTTGCATACAACATCACCCAAGCTACTGCATTGTGAGGTCCAAACATGAAATGCTATACATTTCAATGAAACTTTGGTTGAAAATTCACTACTTTTCGAGATTTGGAGAAAGATGGGTACCTGGGTCGGTGGATTTTGAGGTGGTTGTGGGATTTGAGAAGGCGCATGACCGGAGAAGGCTCATGACCGGAGAAGGCTCGGCCGCGCCAGTTTCTGCATTGGGGCTGAGCTGCACTAGCAAATAGCAATTCTCTGATTGGAGGATCAGAAAGAAGGCGAGTTTAGATCATCTGGAATTCCAAGCTTCAAAATCCAGCGTTTGGAATTCGACAATTCATTGTCAACATCGCAACAAATTTAATTCTAATATGATTTAGTTCGCAGTTGCCTAGTGCTGCAAAGAGAGTTCTTACTCGAGTAACGAAAAACTAGTTCTTTTTGGAGCAACGTAAACCTTTCATGACCTACTTCTTTATCGAAGATTTAAAACAAATTTTCATTATGTCACTCAGTATTACAGTCTAAAGGTATTCTTCTTCATTTAGAAGTGAGAGATCCTAGATTCGAATCTCGTAGATCACGAATTTGATATCAAATTAGGCTGCCCATTATTTACATGATTTAACCGAACTCCCCTTCTCCTTAGTGTAAAAATATTCATGTACTCATAAAAATAAAAAGTAAAAAATGGAAGGGACAAACCACAATGATATGGTGAATTACAAATGAATGGCACAATGGAAAGTGGTTACAAACCACAATGAATTGGCACTGCATTGGTGATTAAGTGTGTAAATCCCTAACACTCCCCTGCAAACTTCGGCGGCAGTGAGTAGACAAGTTTGGAAATAAGACGGTGAAACAGATCGTGAATTTAAAGTAACTCGTCTCTCGTGATCTCAAAGTTAGCATGAGTTTGAATTCAACTAGCTGTGAGATTGGACTATATTTCCACGCCGCACCTGGGGCCTAAGAAGTTAAAATTAATCAAAGTTCATTAATTTTAATTTCAAATTAAGTTAATTAAAAAATGTTTTGGTTAATAGACATAATTGTTTGGAAAGAGTTGTGTGGTTTCAGATACATCTGAAAGGTATTTGAAAAGGTATGAAATAACCTATATAATTGAAGTCTCAGTTCCATCGTACATCATCTTTTTCCTTTCTATCTCTCCCATACAAAACCTTACGGAAAGTAAACTCACAAATCTATTCGCCAGAATTCTATAATTCAATGCGGGTTGTATAATTAGATAGTTGTATCCTGGTTGAGCAGCTGTCGTAGAACCACAAACACAAGAGTGAGACGGAAATACTGTTCGAAGAACATAACCTTTGCGCTAACCTCTATCTATGATTCAGTAAAGTTAGTACCATTTTAATTCCTGTATTTATTTATATTATTTCATTATGTATTGCAAGTATTTTTCGTTAATAAAGATTTAGAATTTCAAGTTTTGTTATTTTTTTATTTATTTCTGAATTGTTCTCCAACAATGCATGCAATCTACATCGATCGACACCAAGTGAAACAGTTTGTTTAGTGTGTATACTAGCTGTGGGGTTGTTGTGGTTGAATTTTGATTCTTTGTTTTTCTCTGGTTGCTCTTGAGGTTTGAACTTCCGTTTGATTCCTTTTTTTTTTTTTTTTTTTTTTTTTTTTTGTACGGTTTGATACTACTGGTAGTGATTATCAATTCATACTTAAATAGAACATGGCAATTAGATCTTGTCACAAATTTAGAAGCCAAAAAAATAAAAAGCTATGTTCTTTTTGGGTAATGAAAAGCTTCCACAACATACGAATTTCCGTATAAAAAACCATATTTTAGTCGTAAGATAAACCTCAAATACGTTCAATCACCACACACACATAACTATAGAAGATAGGGAAAGAAAAACGTGATGCTATTCTGATCAACGAAATTAAAAGGAAACTAATGAACGACGGGAAGATCACCCGAAAGGCACAAAGAAATGAAAGAGTTTGCATTCTTTGACATAAAATGGAATTATTCAAGAGAGAGAGGGGACTCTAAACCTCTACACAACAAGGCTGCTCTTCTTTTGTATCTCCTCTGTTGAAAGAAAAAAAAAAACAACAACAAAGTGATTTCCGTACTCCCTTTTTACCTTCTGCACCCCTTGTTTTTCTAGTTCTCGTATCGAATGAACTCAAAGGCGAATCAAGGTACGTAAATAATAGAAGGAGTGTAGAAGGAGAAAACGGAAATTCGAAGATCACTACCATGAAAAAATCCTTCTATTAGCTAATTTGAACTTAAAGCAGCAAACCCACCACCTTTCATCATCTGCTTGAACTCCTTGAAATTCACCCTCCCATCACCATCCACATCAACCTTCTTTATCATGATCGTACAATCCTCCAATGTCTTCCCTTGCTTGAGCCCCAAGGAAGACAAAACCGACCGCAGCTCGTCCACCGTGATGAACCCGTCTCCATTCTGATCAAACACATTGAACGCCTCCCTCATGTCCTCCTCCTCATCCCTCTCGTCCATGATCGTCTGATACAACGCCCCGAACTCATCCATGTCCACGAACCCATCTCCATTCACATCGATTTTTTCGATCATCTGGATCAAGTCCTTGTCCGGAATGTAAATCCCCAGCTTCTCCAACGAGTCCCTCATCTCCTTCTTCGTGATCCGCCCGTCCCCGTTCTGATCAAACATATGGAAAACCCGCCGTAGCTCCGCCTTGTCCATTAAAATTGCTACAAATTGATTGACCACCAAATCTCACGATTTGAAATTCGATCGGATATTGAGGAACCAGTAACAAAACCCAAATAATCAAATTATTTTGACTTCTTGAAGAAGTAGGGAACGAAGGGTAGAAATGGGGAAAACCTGAAGAAAAAAATGGTTAGGAAAATTGGTTAATACCGAACTGACGATTTGTGGTGGGAGTTGGTCGGAGTTGTTATAAGGGAAATAGAGGTGAAAAAACGATGAGGGTCAAAAGTTTGAACGTTGGTGATTGATTGGATTAAAATTTTGGTTTTTAACTTCGTCGGTTGAAAAACGCGGGTATTGGTTTGAAGTCGTTTGATTTGAAAGCCGCGTTTTTGCGGCACTGCGTTTATAAGGAATTTCAAACGTTCATCTGACCGTTATTTGTGGCGCCGTATTTTCTCAAATTAGGACTTTGATTTTTTTTTTTTGTCGGTCAAAGGTATTGCTTTTTGTTGAACACAAGTTTCGGGGAAATCCTATGTTTGAGCATGCCTAAAATATAAGAGGGAGTTTTGGATAATGTTCCAAAGCTTGCTTGCTTTTTGTGGTGAAGATAACTTCCATTCAATTATCATACTCGGTAATTAATAATGCTCATGCTCGACTCATTATGTGACATGACTTGTGTAACAACTCGTTCCTAAATATTTCGGTTTATATCATTTTAATACGTGAATTTACGAAAAATGCCCTTTAAAGCAAAAATGTCGACTTTTGTTGACCACCTTGTCGTGTCACGTAAGATTCATTTCCTTGGCGTATTCTGATGGTACTCATCGTTACGAATGTATGAGCGCAAACGGAATGTAATTTGGAATTATAACAAAGAAGTTATAGGTGAGCAAAATTAGGGGCAAAATGGTCATTTAACCATCATCCGGAAGGCTTTAGATTTCTTGGAGCAGTGAGATGGTGCCACGTATGTGGCCAGGATGGAGGGAAATGAGAGATGGATGGAGGAGAGAAAGGAGAAAGGAGGGAAATGAGGGAGTGATGGGCTAATCAAGATGAGAAGAAAGGGGGGAAGGAGGAAAGAGAGAAGGGAGGAACCTGGAGCCTTTTTTACTAGTGTGACCCGACTTGGTTCCTTTCAAAATTTTCAGCGGTTTCTCTTGGTTTTCCAACAAATTGCAGCCATCCACCACCATAAATCAACTTAGAGACCTTCCATCTTCATTTCTCCGTCAAACCCAAGCTGTTTAGCATTGTTTCACAATGAACACCCATGTCGGTCCTTGGACTCCACTGCGACGATTCCGCCAATCTTGCAAACTCCGATGATAGCCACCACCCTCATTCAACTCATCTTAAGGTCAGGAACAAAGCCCAAACAAGTTTGGGGGTGGCAGAGCTGCGGATTTAATGAATGGAAGAACACCCGTTTCTAGGGTTTCCAACGCATCGAGGTGATTTTCAGGTGTTTCCCAATCAAATTAGACTTCGACCCAGGTATAAAAGTTCTTCCCCTTGATGAGCTCTACATTCCTGTAAAATGTTGTAATTTTTGGAGTTGGTAGGAAAATTGGGTTTTCATTCACCAGAAACCGCCACATGCGGTGGCGCGTGGCCTTTTGGGCCGCTATTCTTGTGGCGACACGTGCCGCAGCGCGTGGGGGAACCGAGGTCCCTCCTTAGGTTCTTCGACGCGGCGAATCCGAATCCGCCATCCGTTTTTCCAAATTCTAACATTTTAGTAGAGCTTATTAAATGGTCTCTAGTTGTGTTTAGGTGCGTTGGTTGGAAGTGATCTCGTACTCCCTAGTTCGAGCGGCTCCCAAACAAAAATATATTGTGAGTGGATTCCTTCTTAAATTGCATGTTTTTATAAATTATTAGGCTTGCATGCATTGAATGTTTCATGAATTGAATATGTTTTATATTATGTTTTATGAATTTCTATACTTATGGTTTACAGAGGATTTATGATTTATTTGAATTTCTTTTACGAAATATTTATGATTTATCGAATTTATGTTTTACTAAAGGTTATGAATTATGGGATTTTCATATATGAAATTCTATGGATTTACAAATATGAATTATCATGGATTTATGAGGTGATGTTTTGAGCTTTTGAGCTCCGATGATTTGATATGAGTTGTTGAGATATGTTTTTGTTGCTTATCTAGTGGGTTATCATACAGCACATCCACACAATACGGGTATGTAGACGTCTATGGCCATAGGACATAATTGTTGATATTTATGACATACTCCCAGCTTCACTAGCCCAGGGCTAGTATTGGTGTGTTATGTTATATGTATATGTTTCTTCTCTAGCGTAACCTAGAGTCATATAGCCTCACCTTCGGGTGATGGACCATGATATCTTCACTGGCGTAACCCAATGTCGTACAACTCACCTTTGGTAACGGTTATGCCTTCGGGCCACTATGACACCCCTAGTTGAGTATATCATTGATGAGATTTACGGATTTGCCTTCAAGCGGCTATATTACCTTTATTGAGCATTGTTTTCCACGTACATGTTTTACGAATGTTTTTCATGGCATGCTAGAGTTTTCAGAAAACCTACTATGTAGTACTATATATGTGTTTTCAAAACAGGGGGATAGTATGTTCATAAAGAAAATGGTTTTCTTAGTATTAGTATTATTATTGTAAACATTGGTCCACTCACCTTTTGTTTTGCACCCCCTCAGGAGTTAGAATCAAGGTATTCGATCCCGGCATCAGGACACCTCCACATAGGTATCTTCGAGTCTTTTCATAGTAGAATCCACTCCTTTGTTCATATCATTTTATATTAATTCTTTCACATTATTCTTAATTAGTTGTATGCTCTGAACATGGTTCTGCATTGGCATATTTCTTTCTAATCACATATTTTATTTATATGCATGTTTAAAATGGCTTCGTCACCCTCAGGTGTCGGCTAGCACGTGTCATTCATATCGGGATTGGGGCATGTCAACTTGGGCTAATTTGCAATTAAAGCGGATGTGTAGACGTGAGTTAAGCTAATTTGCAATGATAGAGAATGACATGAGTTAGGCTAGTTTGTAGTGATAAAGGATGCATATGTAATAAGGTTTATTTGTACCATACTTTACCAATCTCGAAACTACCGAGTACCGGTCAACTTCATACATTCTACCCACTGTAGGATAGGATTTAGGGTTTAGGCATTCGTGTTGGAGCAACATTGCGAAGGTCCTAAATTTAACATTTTACGTTGTCCAAAGACACACTGATTTTGTGCATTAACATTTGGTGTTGTCTATGGGAATGACACTTATTCTTACTCTCACAAGCTTCGTCAAGCTGGTTTCCATCGCTTGTGCACTATTCTTCGATCAGGCATCCTTCTCCAACATGGGGAGTGAAGGAAGCCACAACACACAGAAGGACACTCCTCATGCCTAGCACGAGGCAACAAAGGAGGGAAAGGAAAAAGGTTGCTCATCAAACTAAAGTCGAAGAGTTTGAAGCTCAGAACAACAAAATAATGATCAGGAATTAGATTCTTCAAGAATAATATGAGAAATTCTTCGAGATGCTCCACAAGGCTAGACAGACTCAGTCTTATTTGCCCATTGTCCCCGTGATTGTGGATCATGACATGGGTACCCACCAATACGAAGGTCCATATGTCTCTAACATGGGCATTCTTAATGAGGAATGACCTTCTCACCAAGATATTGATCAACATAAGACTTTTCTCAACCCAGTTGCTTCATACCAAAGCAAGAGAAGGAAGACATCTCCTTGCAAAAGGAATGGAATGATCGATCGAGAGCTGTTTACTGTGATTGTTGAGACTTCTTAAGGCAGCGTTGAGAAAAACCTATCCATATAGGCTCAAGGATCAATAACCCAATCATCAAAGAACTCGGTCGTCTATCACAACCCAAGGCAACCCCTAATCCAGAAAAGGAATGACAAACTTTGGAGGAACAAAGGGGTGTAGGAGACTCAGGGGGTCTTTCAACAGGCACATCTCGAGAACCAATACATTGAACAAGCTTCCCTACTTCTAAGAAATGATGGAAACTTATGAAAGAAAGTTCCAATGGTGCCTGACTCCACTCATGACCCCTTTATCTTGCAGCTCCTGGAAAAAATGAACAGGTTAAGCGCTAAGCATTAGGCCCAGATCTCTGATCGGAATCAACCAAGGCCCGTTGCACCAGAATACAAATAAAAAGTGATTTTTAAACACTGTTTAGAATGGCCATATTATTTCATTTGAATTAAACAAATAGAAGGTTACTTCATACAAAAAGATAATCAACATAGCGTTTGCTTAATACTTATTTATCAAAGAGCAAGTCAGATTCAGGAGAGAGCTACGGACCATTTGGATTTCGCAACATTTCTAATTTTGGTGCAGACGACAATACGTACTGCTATCTCTGGTGTCAAAGTATATAATAGAACATCAGCAGCCACTGGGGTTATCTTTAGCTCATGAGGCGCAGGCCTATAGACTTAGAACTAGTGATCTCGGCCCATTGGTTCAAGGTTGGGCTCTGTATCAAGACTGACAAAAGTTACCCATGGCAATGCTAGTGTGATGGTATTACAAATTAATCACTTGTTATAATGTGTTAATTTTTAGCCATAACTGATTAAGTTGAGATACTACAACAATAGCTGAATCAAAGTACTTCTTGTACAACAAGACCCATGATAACCATTCGAAATAAACAGCGAATAATTTTTTTATTGAGGGAAAAATTCAATTACCTCGTTTCAACTATTGATTGTGGTCCAAATTGCCACAGTGATTTTCAATTTGGGTTTGAAACTCCTTACTTTGAAAACTTTATATGTTTGGACCTAGCTACATACTACAGTATCTGCATTTACTTGATACACTCACCATTGATGGTCGGATATGCAATAAAAAAGAGGGAATGTCTTATCCATATGTAGTTTCGTTCAATGTTTTGGTAAATAGTCACATGCAACGCACGTGAGCCATTTTTCGAAAGTAATTTGGCAGTTATGTCTATTTCTTCCTCTCACATCGGCTTAAAGCCTAGTTTAGAAGGCACTGCCAGAGTTTTCCTTTTTATATATGTGAAATAACCCATCAAGACACCACTAGGTCATCCAAACCAGGAAGCAAAACATTACATAACGCAAAAAAAGGGGACTCCAACTAAGTAGTCACTATTACAACTATCTCTTCTGCCCTCTTTTGTTATAGTTTGTATGGTTCTGGAGAAGAGGTGAGAGCACTGCACCATCACATCCTCCAACCACAATAATTCACCATTCAACTATGTTCATCTTCAAACAGAATCCAAATTACAGGGTATACGTGCTTCCCAAAGAGCTCGTCACTTAAACTGATCTTCTCATGGTTCCCTGTCCTGCAAGGTACCTATCCCTTATTCTTCCAGCAAGCTGGAAAGAAAGAGTTTGGAGAGATGTTTCAATATCTCCACTACCCAGTACACAAAGAACAAAGCTCGTATAATATCTCAAGTAAGCTCCACTAGATGCTGGCAAATAATCACAACAGAACAAAACATTTCAAGTGTAAAAGTACGGGTAACCAAAGTCACCATAACAACCACATGTAACGGAACAAAACTTTGCCGAACAGTGCGCGGAACAAAGAAGTTCATAGAAGCAGGTTTTAAACATAAACCAGTCAGTTACTTAGTTTCTTACACAGCTACACTAATCTCAAATTCACATAAGCCTTTATGATTCAGCCCTATCACCAGCTCAAGCAACTATAGCCATTGCAAAACAAACGCCCCATGAACATTAGCACTAGCCTATCACCAAGCTTTTCAAGTTCATCATCATTGATACTGTAACTAATATTAGGTAAAAATCTAAACTCACGAACCTCCTTCGTACGCTTGTTGAATTATATTACCTTTATGTGACATTCCATAGAATTCCACAATTTACAGAGGTTATGCTGCACTCAAGTCAAGTAAACTTAGCTACCACTCTTCGCTCACATAAGCTACAACAAGACAGCTTTTACGAACTAAAGATCCCCAATCCAGCTAATTTAAGTCAAAATCTAAGATTATTTCTCAAGCTGCACCTACGAACTGAGACCCACATTCATACTCCATTCAAATCACAATCTATGCTTTATTTCCTTGATCTGCTCCTACTTCAGAAACACTACCCTCATATTACTAAATGGAAGAATTGAATAAGCACTTCTGATCTCCAAATCTATGGCTCAAGAACTTTACTTCATTCTCCTACATTTTGTCAATAATCACCAACGAAATCAGACACCGATAAAAGCACTTAGATTACGACAGGCAGAAACCACAATAAGCAATTCAACATTCCAACATATTCAAATTATGAAATTGAGCAACAATTTTCTCAATTCATACACAGAAATCCAAAGCATTACACCCACAGCATTAAACAACTGGTTCCACAAAATTCCCGCGGAGCCAGAAAATCGCATTATTATATCCAAAAACAGAGTAAGATCCCTGGAATTTCACTACCCTAAGCTTATGGAATGTCCCAGGGTTTGGGCTCAGGGACAGCAACCACCATACCTTGAAGCTCCGGAGTGAGGACGACCTGGCATCCCAGCCTGGAGTGCTTGTTGAGAACCCTAGCCCTCGAATTCCTCTTCAGCACGTACTCCTCGTCGTAGGACCGCGGCGGGAGCTTGTCGAACCATTCCTGGGCGATGTTGACTTCGCACTCGGCGGAGCAGGCGTCGATATCCTCGAGCCGGTGGGAGGCCGGTTCGATAAGGCCGCTCTGGGCCAGGGCCTTGAGGAGAGTGTGGCCCGATAGGCCCACGACCTCGCGCTTGCGGCCGTCGACGTCGATCGCGAAGAGCTTGACGATTCGGTCAGAGACTTTGGCAGAGTGGGTGGAGGAGGATGGGGAGGTGGAGGAGGCGGAGGATCTGGAGATTAGGGAGAGGGAAGGGAGGCGGTGGAGGATTTGGTAGTGACGGAGTCTCTGAAGGCTCGCCATCGCCATTGTTTTGTATCAGGTTCGGGAACAATTAGGCTGCGGACCGTGATGACCGCGGTATGGAGAAAATTAGAAAACTCCACCAAAAAATGGAAAAAGAGGAAAATAACACCAAAATATGAAACATAGGGAGAAGTGTGTCATTTTGCACTCCTCTATGTACAAATCTTTTGGATTTTCACTAAGGAAATTGTTATTAGCATTCCAAAATTTTCATTTAGCACTTCAAATTTGTTATATTTAGAAAGAAAAATACATTTGTGAGGAGTGTCAAATGAGATTTTTAGAGTGTCATTAATAGTTCCCTTCAATAATACTAGCATTTTGTCACACACATAAACTTGTGGTAATTTTCTCTTTTGCATTTTATTAAGACCATCTTTCAACTTTTCGGTAAAAACTTAAAATTTTTAACCAAAAAATTTAGGCTTTAATCAAGAAACAACTATTCTACTAAACGACGGTGCTGGATTAAATTTTTAGGCCGAGATTATTATATTTTTCAAACCAATTCCAAGTCAGCTGTCATGCCCTGTTTTCGACATACGATCAAGATTGACACATGATGTCACCACATTCCTGTTTATCTATCATGTCTCGCCTCCGAGGTAAGACCAAAACACAATCAATGATTTAACCACGCATTCATTTTCTTTTATTTCATGGCTGCATCTAACCTTAGCGTTAGACAACCTATGTACCCTAAGAAGGAATCAAGCCATTTGTAGTTCACTATTCACTAAACTCAGACATTTATCCCAGTGAATTCTGACAAGAAGGCATAATATTCCTCAATCGATTATTGGGACCTGACAAGCATGAATTAATAGATTTAGGGCTACATACAAACTCACATGACAATCAGAATTTCCATTTCATCCATCTTATAAATCACTATGTTTCAACATAATACCGCAAGTTATAGCATGCAACATCTTAAAGAACAACCAACGAACACAATATTATTCTCTTCACATTGGTCAACGAATCTGATTATAGTAATAACAATCATATCCAACATCATTCCACAATCACTCCAATTAATCAATCCCAAGAATCAAAGATGCATGATATTAACATTTAACTATGTTAATCAATCAATAAGATCACATATCAATTCATGAAATTTAATAAAGGAATTCTACATAATTCCTTACCTAGATTCCAAGTATTAACATTATAAATCTAATTTATAAACACAACGTCTACTGTGAGTAATTCATATTCACTCGAATCTAAGGTCAAACTAACCTTAAGGAAATGAGCAAGAGTAGGGATTCTGGACCACTTAACGGAATCCAAATAAAATATGGTCGCCTATCGAAATGTACTAAGTACAACTAATCCTCATCACCCCTAGAATGTGTATGGTCTCCCATTACGGATATACCAAGCAGAACCATAGGCATAATCTAATCGTGCAATCAGTGATCACCCATTGAGGATATACCAAGCATGATCACCCCTGAAATACGTATGGTCCCCTATTGCGGATATACCAAACAGGACCACATCCTAACTCTAGGTAGTGATCACCCATCACAGGTATACTAAGCATGCTTACTCCTAGAATGCGTATGGTCCTTCATTGCGAATAAACCAAGCAGAACCATATGCATAGTCTAATAACGTAGGCAGTGATCATCCATGGCGGATATACCAAGCATGGTCACCCCTAAAAGCCCCCATCGCGGATATAACAAGCATAACTGTATCCTATAACTCTAGGTAGTGATCACCCATCGCGGATATACCAAGCATGATCACTCCTAAAATGCGTATGGTCCCCCATTGAAAATATACCAAACATAACCATAGGCATAATATAATCGTGTAGGCATTGATCATCTATTGTGGATATACCAAGCATGATCACCCCTGAAATACGTATGGTCCCCTATCGCAAATATACCAAGCATAACCACATCCTAACTTTAGGTAATGATCACCCATCGCGGATATACCAAGTATGATCACTCCTAGAATGCATATGGTCCTTTATTGCGAATAAACCAAGCAGAACCATATGCATAGTCTAATAACATAGGCAGTGATCACCCATTGCGCATATACCAAGCATGTTGACCCTTAACATACCCCATCGCGGATATACCAAGCAGGATTGTATCTTATAGCTCTACGTAGTGATCATCCATCGCGGATATACTAAGCATGATCACTCCTAGAATGCGTATGGTCCCCCATTGTGGATAAACCAAGCATAACCATATGTATAGTCTAATAACGTAAGCAGTGATCACTTATCGCGGATATACCAAGCATGATCATCACTGAAATACGTATGGTCCCCTATCGCGGATATACCAAGCAGGACCGTCTATGTACCATTGCTACATGGTGTAGTTAGATCAACACACAACCTCCTTACCCCTATCTCAACCCCTATGATTTGTAATGTAATCGCTTGCACTATCAATTTCTCATGACCACTAACTAACATGTCACATAAGCATACAAGTTTCACGGAATACTTCTAATAAGATTCTAGGCTCACATGGTCATAATAGTTACCATACATGTCATTCATATTATCAAGAAGATAAATACACATTTATATCACAATAAGGTGTCCCATACACGTAAACTGAGGTATATATATTACCTAGGAGTTACCATACATGTCATTCATATTATCAAGAAGAAAAATACACCTCTATATCACAATAAGGCATCCCATATACGTAAACTGAGGTACATTTTACCTGGGATAGCTCACTAACTGATATAGGCTCACTATGCCCTACTTAATCTCTAGTAATACTAATTTTAGTATTTGAGAACGATTAAGAACATTTTGATCAAAATCAACCCTAGTAGATCAATCAGGGAGAACCTCCACCAGATTTCCAATCCGTAAGTTCCTAAGGTCCTCAAATATTACGTATAATAACATATTAAAGTTCGGTAACGATCTAACGGTCAAATCGTCGATTATTATAGGATCAAGTGGCGGCCTTTAACGAAAATATGTTCAAACGATGAGATTTCATCAATTGGATGTCACATATGGATTTGGGGTATCAAATTTAGCCTAGAAAGACAAAGTTGGCCCACTGGCCACACGTCGCCGCATGCGGCACTTTTCAGCGAATAGAAACCTAATTTTTCGACTAACTCCAAAAATTACCAAATTTTACAAAAATGTAGAGTTGTTCAAGGGGAAGAACTTTCATACTTGGGCCAAAGTTCAATTTGGCTGGGAAACACCTAAAATTGGCCTCGATCCGTCGAAAACCCTAGAATTGGGTGTTCTATATTCGACCACAAAATGTACTCTGACACCTCAACCAAAGCATGGATCTTGTTCCTGAGATTGAGAAGAGTCTATTGGGGGTGGTGGTTGATGGAGTTGGTTTCAGAAATGGAGGATCGCCGCCAAGGAACGCCGGCGGCACCGACGTTGTTCATGGTGAAACGAGGCCAAATCACGTTAGTTTTTGGGTGAAATTGAAAGAGGGATCGACTGGGTTTGAAGTAAGGATTGACATGACACCGGTCTCGTCGTCAACGGTGGCCAGAATAAAGGGATATGGCCAAGTCGGGTCGGCGGGTTGAAGAGGGGATCCGGTTCCCTTATTCTCTTCTTCTTCTCCTTCATTTCCCCCCTGATTGGTCACTCTACCTCCTTTTCTCTCCCGCAACTCTCTCTTTTCCCCTCTCTCCTACTACCATCTGCCAACTTCTAATTTTAATTTTAATTTTATTTATTTAAACAACTAAAATGTCTCTAATTTATTCGTTTCAACTTCGATTCGAGAACGGTTTTCGCCTACACGCTCGTAGGATCAAGCTCTATCCAATTATACTTAGTGTGACCTCGTACAGTCCACAGATTTTTAATGATTATTGACCAAAATTCAAACTTCGTAATTAGTTTAATTAAAATCTAAATTTAATAAAATTTAATATAAATTCTCGAAAATAATATAAAATCTCGTTAATACAAATACTTAGTTTACAATAGTGAAATTCAGGAACGAGATTTCACATCAGCTATTACCAAAATATGTAGAAAGCCGTATTCATTATATTTTTTTAATTATTTTCTGTCCAATTTCTAGGTTAATAAAACTAAAACAAAAAATGAAAAAAAAACTAAATCAAACTTGACCGAATTTAAAAAGAAAAACAAACTAAAATAATCATGTTTCTTTTTAACAAATTGCAAAAACGAAATTGAGCTAATTTGTAATTTCAGTTTGATTTTTAATTTAAAAAAAAATTGAACCAAATATACCGAACTCACACATGCCAAATTTCCACCTTTATAAATTGACCTTCATACAATAGGCAGGAAGGTTAATTTATAGAGGTGGGAAAAGAGATTTTTTTTTTTTTTTTTTTTTTATATTAGAAATATTTTTTTTTTCTTAAAAAAATGATATTATCTACAATAAAGGAAAGATGCTAGGCTTAACTATACAAAGAGCTAACAATAATATGGTTCAAATTTGCCTTTGGTTAGAGTCGAATATAAAACCTCTTACTTTCAAATTTGATTTTCCATTTTTTATTTTGCTTTAATTTCTAGAATATCTCAAATGGAAAGAGAACCGCCTAAGTCCCGTTCAAAAATGTCAATGGAGTTGGGACAAAATTAGCAACTTACCAAGTGATGCTGGCATTTGCTCGACTTCGAATGTTAAGAGATGCAAATGACCAAAGACATGGAAGTTCCAACAATTTGCTCAAATTTTTTGTTCACCTGCCTTGTATTCGAAGGCTTCATATTGAAAATTACTTATTAAAGGTAATGGATTTTGTGGTTCATAGTTTTCAGTCAGTAATCAGATTTTCTGGCAATCAGAATTTGACCTTATACTTTCAATCTTCTGTTTTCTGAACCCTTAGGCACCAGTATTTAGACGTCGGCGTCTTACCAGGAAAGCTTCCTTAACCGCGCCGAGACCTGAACTTTCTGTCTATACACATAAGCTTCGATGTTTTAACTACTTTCTGTCTTCTGAGAAGCTTCCCTGCTCTACACGAGCTTGAAATTCGGGTGAGTTTAATATTATTCTGTTGATGCATGCATATCCTGGTGGTATACACTTGTGTAGGCCAATAAAGAAGATCAGGCTGTTGTGGCCCTTGTGGGAGATGTGAACTATGGGTTAGAGATCAACCAGAATTGCTTATTGACCAAACTGCGACTTGTGAAAATAACCGACATCTATGGTGTCGAAGCTGAACTAGATTTCATCAGGTTTTTGCTTTCAAGTTCACCTGTGCTCGAGAAGATGATTGTTGCACCTACTACTGTCAATGATATTCTACTTGGACCCTTGATTTATCCGGGAAACAGGTTTGGCAGATAAGATAAGAGGACTTGCCGGCAGAAACTGAATGTGGGTTGGATAGTTTGGTACAAATATCTACTAGCCACTAGGTGCTGTTTTTGGAGTGTTATATAATTTGAATTTGGGCACGCCAGATGACAGTCCTATTATATATCAAACGACGCCAATATCCATCTTTTCTTTTTACTAATCTCATGTTCAACTTTGGCTCTGATATTAAATTTTGACCTTAAGATGTCTGATGGAATGCCTCGAGTACAGGAGAAGACTAATTTGGAAGTGCTTTTAGAATGGATTGAAAGCACTTTTGGAAATACTTTGGTCGAAAAAGTTGATAGTTGCAAGATCCTCTCCTCCTGGAGCTGCTAAATGAACATTTAGGATGCGCTTGAAGCAAGCAAACTAGAAGAAATTACATGGACAGCAATTTTTGGTTTTCGATTCTGCTGTACTGGTCATTGCTATGCATCATGTGTTGTACAAATACCTAAAAGAAAAGGTTTTGTTCAGATAACCTCCACAATCGAGGGCAATGCCTGATTGCTCTCCGTTTTTGGGATAGCACGACAACAATTCTCGATTGTTCAACAACGAGTTTTGGAACAAAACTGATCTCATTTCTAACATATGGAGTTTTACATATTACAAGTCATCAAAATTAATCGTAAAGTCGCTAGACCAATAAATGTCATTAGAATATGTAGCTTCCATAAGGCAGTCCGAGTCTTCCAAGGCTTTGTCCATGGACTCTGCTAAATCTGCCTCCCATAAGCCTAACCTGCAGACTCTCTTGTAAGTTTCATAATTCGATGCTCTTAGGCCCTCCGAAATGATCTCCCTTAAAGAACCACAAATCTCTTCACTACTCACGGCATCCAGAAAAGTTTGGGATAAAGAGGGTTCCCAGAAAACAACAATGGCACAGCTCTTATCCACTAACCGAACATCAAATTCTTCAGAGAAGACGGCATGCGACTTGTGCAACAAGCTCTTGAGCATCCCCGCAGTCATCCCACTTCTGAATCCCCATAAGAATACCAAATCATCACAGCTGACCTTTCTCATATTCTTTGTCCAGACTCTGACATCCTCATTGGTTGATTCTTGGGGGCCGGAAATGTTTTTGTACTCTTCGAGGGCTGGATCCAACAGTGCATTGTTAGATACCATAGCATTTTCGGAAATTTTCAGAATGGAGCAGAGCTTTGCAAAAAAGTAGCACATCTTCACAACACAAAGATTATGAATGTTGCCTTCATTTTCTGTATATAACAACTCAAAATAAGTTAGGTTTGCTCTGAAGTAAAGAGGGCATGATGGAAACCAATCTCACAAAAATTAGGTCAAAATATCTTCGAAGCAATGATTTGACACAAGAAATTCACTAGAGAACCAAGTAAACCCACAAGAGCAACAAACATGGGATTACTGCACTCTATCCGACTGTGTCTGTGTGTTACGTGAAAACTAAGGGTATTGACATACCTTGAGGCGAAATTTCCATATCAATGGGTGCAAAGTAATGATTATTCAAGTATGAAATAGCTGCATGAATGTTGGTCATCGTCCTTAGAGGGCCAATATTCTTCATCAGATGGCTGATATCAAGTATGTGGGGGAAAACCGAGCGCAAGGAACCCACAAACTCATCTACATTAATCGGCAGGGGAGAGAGAAACTCTGAATGAATAACTGTGAAATCTGCACAGAGCAAAATTAAACTATAAGTTGCGAAACTAGAAAAGAGCAGAGGCCAAGTCAAGGGCATTAAAGCTTACAGATATTTATTAAATAGAGATACACCATTAAGGGAATTGTGGGAGACAACAGGTTTCTGTGAAGCAGAAATCAAATCGATCACCTCTCGAAATCCACGAACTCTCTTGTTTTGTTCCTCCTCGAGGTTTTGAAGCTCTCTCTGTAAGCACACATTCAAACCAAATGTTTTATAAAAAGCCTGATGATGCAAAACAGCAAGACTTGAAAATCATGTCACTACCTCAAACAATTCCTTGTCCTCTTTAGAACTTGTCAAAACAACACGAACAGCCTGAGTTCCTCCGCCCTTTGCTGGGATTATTAAAGGAACAAGGTCATCAGAGAACTCTTTCAACATCTGTAACCAATGAAAAAAAAACTGAATGGGATAAAATTCTAATTAAATATACCGGCATGGCGGCACCAGAAAAAAAGGATTAAAATGAACAAACGATCAACATACCTCCAGTGTAAGCTGCACTTGACGTTCACTACAAACATCTAGATCCATGCAAGGTCTTGTTCCGTACATTTCACTTCGCATTACCATTTTTCTTAAGGAACTCAACAGAGCATCTGCAAAATGAAAAGAGGAAACACATTGGTAACGGATGTAAATAGAATCTAGAACCTTTTTCTGTCCTTACCATCTTTCTTTGTGCTTTTAAATGCAGTTTTCCAATGCTTAACTCGCGATTTAATTCTTTCAACGAAAACTGTATCAGCAATGGTATGGGTTGAAGAAGTGTTCGTTACACAGCTGATGGCGGCCGGATTCCCTATCCGAACTTTAGCTGCAGATTCCTGTGCTCTAGACAAATACGAGATACCTGTCTCATTACAAAAACACAAAATCTCAAAACAACATCAAAGTTACAGACTTGCAAAATCCCAAATTGTACAGTTTCCCCAATTCATCGAGACAAATTTCTTAACTTCAGTAATTTCTTCTCTAGTTTTTGTAAAAATGTTAACTTGGGTAAAATCATATTCCACAAAATTAGAAACTGGGGAGTGATTAAACACCAAAACTTCACAGGGAAGGCTTACCATTATATATGCAGGCATTGAAATCAAAACCTTCTTCCGCCATGGAAGTCAAATGTGATGTTTGAACTGAAAAGCTATAAGTTGGCATCCCCATCTTCAATTCATCCCTTGGGAACAATACAAAGTTGTATCTGCACCAAAATCATCAAACCCACATCACCGAGTCACATTATTATACATATACATATATATATATATATGTAAATTTATATGTGTATGTATAGGTATAGTAAGAGTGTACGGACGGGTGAGGGGTGAGCTTAGAGGCTCTGAGAGTGAAAGGGCAGGCGGCGAACTGGAGAAGCTGGAACCGCTCGGCAGCGTACTTGGCCTTGAAATACGACGTGTCGACGGTGTCGAAGGGCTGGGGGCGGTGCCACGGCGCACAATACGACCCCGTTTTCTGCAGCGAGACGGCCACGAAGTCGGAACTAGACAAGTGGTTCTTGAACTCCTCCAGGGACTCGGAAAAATTGGACTTCGTCACCTTCTTCACGGCCCATTTCCTTGAGACATTGGTTGTGGTGGTGCTGAGAAAACGGCGCCGTATTTGTGGAGGCAGAGACGCCATGGTTTTCTTCTCTCCAGCGTCAACTCAGCCGCTACCTGTATCTGTACGTGCGTTTTTAAATTTTGACAGGGATTTACGAAGTTTGATCGGCATTACACAAAATAGGTTTTTTAAAATGGCCGAAAATGTTTAGGGAATTCTTTTGAGACATCCAAACTCTTATGTATTAACATACTTTGAGAACTTCAATTTTAATTTATTAAAAATTATTTATCTTTATATGTAAGAACTATACGATTGTAGGGATTTCATTTAACATCGCTATCGAAGATGCTCTAAGGGCTTTTGGGCATGAGAATGTAGCTGGGCAAAGCGCATACTATGGAGATGCTCGTCCCATTTGTTTCTTCAATCTTCATTTACCAAACAAACCAGAGTATTTGGGCCCATTAAACGAGCGGTGGCCCAGTATTATCAGGTAACAAATAAACCAAAGTCAGGTGACACGTGGTAGTCGCAGAACGCGAGCCATCATTTGCCCAATTGCAATCGATTAGGGCATTTTGAAGTTGGAAGCTTTATATATGTGAAACCACCAAAACCCACAACGAGCCGAGCGAACGACTGCGTCTCCAACTATAAACTCCGGCAGACCTTCGATCGCCGCTCAAGCAGTCATCGAGCTCCTCCGTCACCTCCTCCGTCAAACCTTCATCGCCTCCATCTGCTCTCCTCGAGGTTTGAGACTTTTCTTCATAGCCGCCGTTTATTTTCTTTGCTGAATCTTTTTTCTTTTTTGTTTGCATTGCTCATTTAAATTAGCAATCTTTTTCTGCAATCCAATATGAAATGAAAATGTCTTTGTTTTTTTAAATAATAATAATTTTGGTTGATACAGTAATAAATGAGTGCATAATATAACAAATGAATGGTTGTATGGTGTTAAGCGGGAAGTATTTTAATTTATGAAACAAATTTTGAGGGTTATGTGATTAAAGTTTGTTTCTTTGCTATTATTTTTGTTTATTTTTTGAAAATATTGGGGTTTATGTGATTTGAGCTAGCTTTATTTATTTATTTATTTTTTATTTTGATAATGCAGGTGTGTTTGTGTTTTAATTATGTGTTCATTTCTCAATACATGTCAAATTCCTAGCTATTTTGCACCTTTCCATGTCGGAGATTTCCGGGTTGATTTTTGCTTTGTTTTTTATTGCAGTGTGGGGTTTGTGCATTCATATTTAGAGGGTTTTCAAGTGCAGTGAAGCTTTTTCTTGGGTACTAAATTTGTCGATTTATCTGGCTACTGTGGGTTTGATATAATCATCATGCCTTTCCAAAGCAAGTTTCGCCTTATTTCGTACTCCCAAGAGTTGGTAGATGGTCAACCGCTGTATGCTTCTTCAAACTGCCTTCCTGTCAAGGCTTTGAATCATGAACCAGCTGGGCATTCATTCCATGCTGTCGCTTTGAAGCTTCGTGGGTGTGTGGAGGAAAAGAAAGAAGTTGAAGATGGGAAGGTGGTCAATAACAAGGAACAGACTTCTATACCATCATTTGATTCGTACAGCAGCAAAGGTAAGAAGAAATCTGGAGGCGAAGGCAAAGAACAAGATCACTATGCACTGTTAGGTTTGAGTCATTTAAGATACCTTGCAACTGAGGAGCAGATAAGAAAAAGCTATCGTGAGACTGCCCTGAAATACCACCCTGACAAACAGGCTTCTCTTCTTCTCAATGAGGAAACTGAAGCTGCAAAACAAACAAAGAAGGACGAGATAGAGGGTCACTTTAAGTCCATCCAAGAAGCGTATGAGGTGTTAATTGATCCTGTGAAGAGAAGGATTTATGACTCCACTGATGAGTTTGATGATGAGATCCCCACTGAATGTGCCCCACAGGACTTCTTCAGAGTGTTTGGTCCTGCTTTTATGAGGAATGGGCGGTGGTCAGTTACCCAACCAATCCCATTTTTAGGTGATGAGAATACTCCACTGAAGGAAGTAGACAATTTCTATGACTTCTGGTACACCTTCAAGAGTTGGAGAGAGTTCCCACATGCGGACGAGTTTGATCTTGAGCAAGCGGAGTCTCGTGACCATAAGAGATGGATGGAGAGGCAGAATGCAAAACTTTCAGAAAAGGCTAGGAAGGAGGAGTATGCACGAATTCGTACTCTTGTTGACAATGCATATAAAAGAGACCCGAGAATACAGAGGAGAAAGGAAGCAGAGAAAGCTGAGAAGCAGAGGAAAAAAGAGGCCAAATATATGGCTAAGAAATTACAGGAGGAGGAAGCAGCCAGGGCTGCAGAAGAGGAGAGGAGACGGAAAGAAGAGGATGCCAAACGAGCTGCAGAAACAGCTTTACAGCAGAAGAAGCTGAAGGAGAAAGAGAAGAAGCTCCTGCGGAAAGAGCGGGCTCGCCTTCGAACAATTTCAGGGCCTGTTACTTCGAAGCTTTTGCTCAATCTTTCTGAGGATGACGTGGAAAGTCTCTGTTCGTCTCTTGGTACCGAGCAGCTTAGGAGTATATGTGAGAAGATGGAGGGCAAAGAGGGGCTGCAGAGAGCAGAAGTCCTTAGAGATGCATGTGGATATAAAGACGATTTGGTGGGTAAGAAAGAAGAAGAGAAGAAAGCAGAACAACAGAATGGTTCCGTGAAGTCCAATGGTACCGTTCAGTTAGCCAGCTATGAGAAGAAGGAAGAGAAGCCTTGGAGCAGAGAAGAAATTGAGCTTTTGAGAAAAGGAATGGTAAAATTTCCAAAAGGAACATCTCGGAGGTGGGATGTTGTTTCAGATTATATTGGTACTGGAAGATCCGTTGAAGAAATATTGAAGGCAACAAAGACAGTCCTCCTCCAGAAACCTGATTCTAGCAAAGCTTTTGATTCTTTTCTTGAAAAGAGGAAACCCTCACCATCTATTGCTTCTCCACTTACTACCAGAGTCGAAGTAGAAGGGGTACCGACTACTCAGGCCACTGAAACACCTGCCGTGAAGACAGATGAAGCGGGAGAGTCGTCAAGCCTAAGTGCAAAAGACCAAACTCCTACAGATCCGATTGTTGAAAATGGATTGTTGTCAGGTTCCGAGCAAGATGTATGGTCTGCTGTACAAGAAAAAGCGCTGGTTCAGGCTCTCAAAACCTTTCCAAAGGATGCCGCTCAGCGTTGGGAGCGAGTTGCTGCTGCTGTTCCAGGGAAGTCTGTGGTTCAATGCAAGAAGAAATTTGCGTTGCTGAAGGAAAGCTTTAGAAACAAGAAGAGTACCGCTTAAGTTGCTGCAGTTTCCTAATGTTGCCAAAGATTAGTAAGGTGCTTGAGAAGATCGTTCTGAGCATCTATCCTACATTTCTAATTCTTTCTAGGTAAAGATTCAGTTTCTGCCATATGGATTTTTCTGTAGAGCCATACAGGTCTTTAGCTACTTTCGACGAGGGGTTATATTTTGTATCGCTTTCCAGAGCATGTTTTTCGTTTTGCTATATCGGGGATTCACTGCACTGAGAGATCTGTGGAAGGTCTGCAGGTGCATGGAAATAGGAAAAGGATATTGATTAATGTTGAGATTAGTTTGATGTTTTTTTAGTAGGGATCCTGTTGAATCTCATTGGTAGAGGGAATGGATTCTATTTGACAACCAAATTATATATTTTACTTTTCACTCAAATCGTGTTAATTTTTCATGTGGCTATGGAGGTTATCTTCGTGATTAGGGACGCAGATTCGAACATAGGTGCAAATGATCGTTGTACCAAAAAATTACCATGTGATAACATTACGTGACGTTGGACCAAAAAATTACTTGTTAGAAAAAAGAAATGTATCCTGATTTCCTATGCTGCTGAAAGAACACCAAAATTAGATGTGCTTTGCATGAACAACTAATTAATGAGACGGGAAATCATACACCGTCCCTCAATCTTCATTTTACAGCAACCTTCAGAAATCCCAGCACTGTCCAGATTACTTTGCTAGTTTGCTGCTTCAAGCTGTGCCTGCAAGAACAGAGATCAAATGACATCCAACAATTTGATTAAGTTTCTATCGTTTATCCCCAAGGTAGAATTCATTTACGCAACACATCATTTCTTTTCGGGACTAGATAAAACTCACTGGATCAAAATCTCCTCCGGATTCCGACTTTTCTTCCGAAATCCATTCTGGAACCAGATCTAGCAGCAAGGTAAGCTGCTCTTCAACTTCATCTGTGAAGAGAATAGAAAAGGAGTTGGGTTCACCAGGAGCTTTCGTGAACCGTAATGGAAATGATTTACTTTTATACGATGGCTTACTTGTGTCGGTAAATTCAAAGTTATTCCAAATTAGCTTGTGCACAAGCTCTTCTTTTGTGATGGCAGAACAGTTGACAGACTAAAATACGAAATGAATCATGTCGACGAGCTTAGGTAGGCCGGAAATCCTCTGTTGATCCCTCTTTGCATGTGAGATGACTGGAATTTGCTCCTCCATTACCGTCCTCTCCTCATCTTTGAGCTGTAGAAAGATGAATGGATACTTCTAAAAAATGTTGTTCATATATTCAAGTCCAGGTAGATGCAAGGAAATGCTGCATAAAGCACACCTTAATGATTGATACTGCGATTGATTTTCAACAATGGTTCCAAAAACTTTCATAACCTCGAGGGCAATTATATACATCAATGTTGAACAAATACAATTCTTCTTCAAACTCAAACAAACAAAATACATATTGTAACAACCCGTCCTGGATTTTACATAACGTCAAGGGCAATTTCGAGATTTCACTTTGGTTAGGGTGTTTATTTTAAATGGTTGCTTTTGGTCTTGTTTGGTACTCCTTGTGGGGCCCACCCTTACACCTTGGTCCCCCAACCCACTCCCTCTTTCCCTCTCCCTTTCCTTGTGACTTGCCTCAGCTCCCTCTTTTCTCTACCTCTCTATTTTCCCCCAAGCTTACCCACACGCACACAGGACTCAACAATCTTCACATACTCTTTCTCTGACCTCCCTCATGACTCTCTCACACCTCTCGTCCCTCTTGTTCCTCTGCAAGTGCAGACACCGAGACCTG